GATTCTCACTTGGATGGAGGAAATAAGGACTTGCAGGATCTGAAATATCAAGAACTCTAACTGCATTTGCAGTGTTGCTCGTGGATGAGCCACCAATCGGAGCAAGATTTTTCGAAGGTTCTTGAATTAGAACAGAACTCTTATTCACCATGTTTCAAATATCAATGAGCTTGCAAACAGAAGAAAGCTTTATAAGGAGTAAAAATCAAGTGAAGAAATAAAGAAGACGAACAAGAATTGGTGAATATCAGAGCTCCGTGAAAAACTCTAATACCATCTTACAGTGGAAAACTAAATTTTGATATTTCATTAATGAATAATTTACAAACTCAGGTACTTATACTGTGTACCTTTCACAATGAAAAGAAAGGGAAATGCTTACGTGGCACAAGCAAACAAAAACTAATCCTAATTGCAAAATTGAGTAACAGAAAGAAAAAACAGAAAACTACTTTTTGTACACTAAACTACACACGTGACAATTCAGATTGAATCTCATCACTTATATTCAAATAGTCATTTTTAATTACTGATACCGACATTCAATGTTGAACTGACACCGACACAGGACACAAACGACATTCCAACACATTAGTTCTAAAAAATTATTAGATTTCAACACGTTAGGACATGTTTTGATATTAAATAATATTTTTAATTTATGTAATATATATTATATTTAATATTCAATAATTTAATACAAAAAAATGAAACTAAACTTATAATACCTATCAATTTTGCAAAGAAACATAATTAGTAAAAATTTACTATTATATTTTCATTTTTATTTTTTACTATATCAATTTGGTAAAACATCAATTAATTTTTTCATGATATATAATAAAAATTCAAATATTATAGATATCGAAACATATCAGAGTATCGGGGAGTATCATATACAACACTTCAAATTTTTTGAAGTGTCGGTGTAACACAGTCGACATTATATTATGTTGTTGGGAGATGTTATACTTATTACTGAAATATTTTACAACTCTTACTACTAAATCAATCACCGTTGATTTCCGTCAATTTAACAGTTATAATTTATTGGGTACACTTATTAATTAATTATTAATTTCTAATAAATTATAATTGTTAGATTGACGAAAATCAATAATTATTAATTTAATAATAAGAGTTTTAAAACATTTCAGTAGTAAGTATAATCACCTCCTATGTTGTTATATGAAAATTTTGTATCTATTTTTTCCTAGACATTAAAAAACCACGCTTCTTTAAATTTTTTTAAGATTTTCTAAAAGAATAAAACACAAATTGTTTCAGATAATTACATGAAAATGAAAATTTAACAAGCATGATAAATTCTTTTTATAAAAAAGTACTTTTAGATTTGGCGGGGGTTGGCGCCTTTCGACTTTACGGTTCAAAGGTTATTGGATGACAACTTTGACCTAAATACTATAATGGAAATAACCACCAATAGGTAGTGTTTAGTAAAATAGTGATAAAATAAATGTGGCAATTAAGAAATCACCGTCAATCGCGTGCCAGTTGTAGGTGCACTACCCTCGACTTTCAATAACAATCACAAACTCCTGCTACATCAACTTTCCAACCCAATCATGGGATTCACAGTCTTCACGGTTCCATGGTCGACAAAACTAGGGTATAGCCGGTACCAGTCTACTCGTCATGCACTCTGTCTAATACTATGTAATGTCATTGACAATATTGGAAAAATAATAATATAATTAAAAAAGTAATTATATAACAACAATAATAAAAAATAAGTATATTTAAATAAATTATTTTATTAAGATACTCAAATATCTTATTTTATTTATTAAAAATACCAAAAGATAGATTAAAAAATAAATAAATTTTGACAAAATAATTTTCTATACCAATAAATAGTTTGAAACGGCGTGATCAATTAGGCTATAAGATCTACAAACGATTGCAAGGGGAATTTGATTTTATTAAAAAGTATAAGTTATTGTTTGATTAGTTTTTTAGTATTATTATCATGCTTTATTTGTGTCGAAGAATCATATGTCTTATTGATTGAGAGATATAAAACATGATTACAATAATTATATAGATACCAAATAATTTGAATTAGCTAAAAGTTAGGTTATAATTTTAATTAATTAATTAATTAATTTCAACCATTATGATTTACTAATCAAATCTTATTCAATGCAATTACTGTAATCCTTATGAGTTGCTTATCAAATCATGTTAATTAATGTCTAAACAAATCCTATCGCATGTCTTAATATCATGCAATATCAAATCAAGTATATATGGAATATTATTGATGGAATATTATTAATTTTTTTTTTTGTAAATAAAGAGGGGCCAAGCCCCAAAATAAAAGAAAATTACAGCTTAGTAATTAACTATCAAGCTAGACATATTTATAGCATTAGTATCTAAAAGATCCATCATCAACTGAGGAGGGGGTTCCAAACAAATTTAAATGGAATATATATGATGGAATTTTATTGATTTGATTCACACACACACAGATATATATATATATATATATATATATATATATATAAAAGATAGGATCATTTGATACGGGTGTCAAACTTTAAAATTTGAAATCATATCCTAACCGTGGATTTTCGCCAGTCAACGATTATCATTTATTGAGAATTAATAATTAATTAACGAATTTTATTGAAAAAATTATAACCGTTGATTAGCGAAAATCAACGATTAGAATTTTGTGTCAAATTTTAAAGCTTGACACCGTTGTCAAAGGATCTGCCCATATGTATATATATGAAGAAAAATCTAATGTTACTTTGGACAACATTGTTTAATGTTCACCGAAACGACGTTATTTTAGAGTTGAAAAATTAAAATGATAACGACTATTATAACTCTAAAATAAATTAAAATTACAAACACACATACATATATATATTGTTACCTATTGATATATCAAATTCATGTGCACATATTGAGTCTTTGATATAGATGCTATCTATTGATAAAAACGAATGCATGCCGAAATGTCTCCTAATAAAGAAATCAGACTTTTTGAGTCAACGAAACATCATACATTTTTACCTTTATTTAACAAAGAGAGTCGTAGAACATTATCACAATGATAGTTTTTTCAGAGAAGGAGGCACATGTAATTCCGGCAAATCAACACCTAAAATCCTGGTTGGTGTTTTTCCCCAACAGTAAAATTAAGGAGGGCGTGGCTCAGCTCAAAGAGAAAGAAGAATCTGAAACAAATTACACCTTGTGACCTATACATTTAAGGCACCGTATATGATTGTTAGGCCACAACTCGATAGGTCACAACTCGATAATAAAAAGGGACATGCCACATGAAACTATAAACTTCGAGTTTTTAAAAAATAAATATTTTGTTGATCTCAAAATAATTAAGCATTGAGTACACATGCTTGTTTTAATTTTTTATATATTTTTTTCATCTCATATACATGTTCAACAACTAACATTATGAGATAGCACAACCCCAATATAAAATCTTAGACTGAAACCAGTGTCAGACCTGTATTAGTGCAAGTGTATGCGAGTGCACACATAATTTTTTTTGAGAAAAAAGAATAAAATATATAAAATATATTTTGGATCATCAACAAAAATTACAGGACTCAATTTAATCTCTTAAAAAAAAGTCGACTCGTGATCCCTTTAAATTTTAAAATAGACCCATGTTAGTCCTTTTGAGGGATTAATGTGAGTCCTTTTGAATTTTTTTTTTGGACATTCAGATACCATAATTTTGATTATCTGAGTCTATTTTTGAATTACGAGGGATTACGAGTAGACTCATTTTTCCCTAAGAAATTAAATTGAGACCCGTAATTTTTGTTAAGGACCCAAAATGTTCTATTGTAACAGTTTAATTGACTTTTGATTACTTTTTTTATATTAAGTAAGTTTTTTTTCTTTTTTTTTGTATATATTCTTTTGTATTTTAATATATTTTAAATTTTCTTTATTTTTTTTTCTTTTATTCTTTTATTTTAAGTGTGCAGATATTAAAAAAAATTCTAGATCCGCTATTAACTGAAACTATTGCTCAAGAGATAATTCAAAATCATAAGGTCTCATTTCATTGCTCCTAACATAAATAATTAATTGACTTTACACTTCTCATTTATATGATAAATATCTTCTTATACCATTAGAAAAAAAAAGAGTCTGTAAAAATTGAAAAATATGTAGGAAATTTTTTTCTTTGCATGAAAAGTTGATGGCCCATAATTAATTCAATGAAGAATGCTTTCAAATTCAAATTGCAAAAAGTTTCAGCTTTTTGTTAAAAGAGAAAAAAAAAAAAAAATCAAATGGAAGGTTGCGCGAGCTCAGGGACATACCTCATGGGATAATAGCTCCAAAGTGGGCTTTCAACTTTTATTTAGTCGGCGCAAAGATTGCACATTCGAAGCACTCATCGATGTGGGAAAGCGTAAGATTCGATGCAGGCAACATTAGTTCCCCACTTTTAACTTTTTGTCAACGACATTCGGGTCGGATCCTGCCCAAAAAACCGAGCCCCACACAGCATCAATCTTGTTATTTGCAAATTTTATTTTATAGTAATTAACAATTTAATAGTACTTTTCTTGAACAGTACGCGGCACTCTTGTTTTTTTCCCACGCATATCTTATCAGGTATTACTGGATTAGTGTTCAATATAAGTATTAATTTTCATAATATATATTTAAAAATATAATTAGAAATAAATTTGATATCTTAATTTGCTTTATTTTTTATATGTGAATATCTGAAGAGATTTCTCCATTAAAGATTTACAATTATTAATTATAAAAATAGAAAATATATTGAAAATTTTAGGAAACAAATTATAATTAATTAAGAATCAAATCAGGAATAATAAGACCTATGTTTTCAACTAAAAAAAAGCTACAGATAACACTTTTTTTTTTGTCACTATTGTGTTCTAATCTGTATCAAATAAAATACACATTGTTTTTGGTGTGGTTTTTGTGTACATGACTGTCGGTTCTTGGGTTCTCTGCCCAAACTGAAAAGGTTTGAACTCTTTCGCTTTCACGGGAGAGACAACGCAGTTCCTTAACATAAACTGAAAAATTAAGACCCAATTCTCCCTCCAAACACTCTTAACCATTTTCCTCTCAACCTTGCCACACAAACAGACTTGTTAACCATTGCTAGTTACATTGTGTTTCCTTGTTTAACCATTCTATTAAGCCATCATCTCCAACTGTTTTTCATTAGCAAACTGGTTTGCCAAACACATTGAGCACTTTCCACTCCATTCTCCTCTTCATGTACAGCTACAGAGATTCATTGGCATCCATTATGCACATAATGTTTTTGGTGTTTTTATTTTTTTATTTTTTTCAGCTCTGATCATCTGTCAGTTTGTGGGGTTGGGATGAAGTTTCTATTTTTAGCGTTAGAATCTGGGATTAGTAATTGGATTGGAATGAAATCAATTATCCATTTTGTTCTACTTATGGGAAATGTGTGCAGTGCAGGTTGATTTCTTGGCTTTTTTCGTGTTGTATTCTGATAACTGATATTCATATATGGAAACGCAAGTTTGAAGATTTTCAATTGTAGGAACCAATGGGGTATTGGGGTTAGCTTGATTATAGTAAAATCTGCAGTTATATAAAAGGTTTTGTTTTCTGGGCTTAGACTACTGTATTTGTTGATTGGGTTGAGTTTTCAGGCACCCTATGTTCTATGGATGAAGCAATTCACTGATTCTAAGATCATAATATTAAGTTCAGATATTTCCCTGTAATTTAGCCAAAAGATGACTTTTACCTTGTTCATACATAAATCGTAAATTCTTGTAACTCCTCTGGGTTGTTACTTTTATATAAAATCAAAATGGTTGGTTCTTTGATTTCTGAAATGAGAAGAACAAAATAGATATTTTATTGGTAAACGGTAGGTCGAAAAGAAAATGAGTTGGAAAGATGAAATGGATAATTCCTCAATTAATCAATGGAAGGGTTTTTTTTTAATCATGTATTCTTATTGCCTACTCACTAGGATTTATCGTGATACTTCTACATAAGGTACTCTGTTTTCGTTATTCTCCATTCATAGTTTTATCATTTTTTTTATTTGATGAATTTGTGCAGAATGGAAAGCAAAAGAAGAGGCCAATGGTTAAACCTTGTAGTATGTGCACTGCTATTGCTGAAGGCAGAAGCTGTTTATGTACCAATCACTTATGTCCAGAACGCGGTAACAAAAGGAGCCGGTTAGGAATTTTTGCTCTTTCAGTTCATAGTTAACTTTATCAATTTTTGCTCTTCATCTCATGTTTACTATTTTTGTTAATGTTTATAACAATTGGGAAATTGAAATTTAAAATATTTTTGCAGTTTGTTTGGATGGGAGTCCTGCGGCTTACCATTTAGATAAGGGATTTGGAGCAGGGATTAAAAATTGGTTAGTTCAATTTGAGGTGTGTCCCTTTCTACAAACTTACATGAAGACTGAAAAGTCTTTGCCAAATACCAACTCAATAAAACATTGCTTTCACTCTTTATTTAACTCTATTTATTTCTTTAACGTGTGTGAGTAAAACTATTGCTATGTTATACTTTCAATTCCATAAGTAGTAGGATTTTCCAAATGTTTTTCTCTCTGTTGGAACTTGCAACTTCATCGAAAGTTCTCTTTTATTGGTAATGCACTTTGATTCTATTTCATTTCTTTTAGGGAGGAGGATGGTGCAACAATATGACTACTTGCCTTTCTCGCAAGTACACTCGTTTAGGTTCATCTAAGCAAATGGCCGAGCAAATTGCCTTTTCAGGAATTTTAAGTAACAAGCAACAGTTTAATCCAGGTATTCCCTTCTTGTTAATAGATCTTGTTATTCCTTATGAATCCAACATTTTGTTCAACTTTATAATGAACGTTGTGAATTCCAGATTTCTATAATTGGAATAGAATCAAGGTTAGGTATTGTGATGGGGCATCATTTACTGGTGATATGGAAGCAGTCAATCCAGTAAGTTTTACCAAATTCAAAGGAATTTTGATATCTAAATTTCAAGGAAGATATTAGTCATGGATAAATTTTTTTTCCTATTTTTTCCTTCTGATGAAATTCTAATAAAATGATGTGTAAATCAGGCAACTAAGTTGCACTTCAGAGGAGCAAGGATTTTTGCTGCTCTCATGGAGGATTTACTAGCAAAAGGAATGAAAAATGCTCAAAATGTATGAGACATTAATGATTTGTCACTCTTTTTATTGGTTTTTTTTTTCCTTCTCTCACCGAACTTGTAACTACAGGCTATTATCTCTGGATGTTCAGCTGGAGGATTGACTTCAATACTGCATTGTGATCGCTTTCGAGCTCTATTACCTGCAGGAGCTAAAGTAAAATGCCTCTCAGATGCTGGTTACTTTATCAATGCGTAAGCCCCTTAATATTCTTAATACTTAGCCTTTTCCTGAATTTTTAGATTTCCTTAGATCTTTTTAAGATTCATTATGTTAATGTTAACAGAAAGGATGTCTCAGGAGAACAACACATTGAACAGTACTTCAGTCAAATTGTTACCACACATGTATGTACATTCCTTTCTCTCTATCATTTTCCACTTTATACAAAAAAGGTGCCACTAATTTTTCCCACTTTTCATGTGGAAGATACTTTCTGAAGCAGTTGTTCAAGGGAGATCTAAAATGTTCAAGTTTGTTTTTTTCTTCTTCTTTTTTTAGGGCTCTGCTAGGAATTTGCCACAATCATGCACTTCAAGACTCAGCCCAGGCCTGGTAAGTTTATAAATTATAGTTTTTGTCTTTCTACAATTCCTTCTGTGGTGTTACTGACACTTCTGATTTCTGAACAATCTTGTAGTGCTTTTTCCCACAATATTTGGTATCACAAATCACTACACCAATCTTCTTTGTAAATGCAGCATACGACTCATGGCAGGTCAGATTATTCTGTTGCTCAAGAAACTTCAATTTATTTGCAGATTGGTGTTCCTTATTTAATATATTGGTCCCGCTAGACCTAAGATACTAACCTGGAATACAAAGTGTGAAAATAAAAAACTTCTTGATGAGAAAATTGTATATGCAAAATCAATTGGGATAATATCAGAAATTGGCCAAAGATTATTCTGCATACTTTTTTTTCTTAATATTTCCTGATTCAGTATGAACTTTATTCCCTCTTCCCCCAAGATAAAAACCTCCATATATGATAAATGGTTCTGGATAACTCATCTTCATAAATGTATTTGTCATTTGATGTTTTTGCTACTAGCTCTTAATAACTGGACAGATCCTTCTAGTATTTTCCTTGAACCTCAAGTTATTGCTTTGATTCAGATTAAGAACATTTTGGCACCGGGTGTTGCTGATCCTCATGGCAACTGGCATAGCTGCAAGCTTGACATAAGCAACTGCTCACCTAATCAACTCGGTCTAATGCAAGGTGAATATTCTGATCTCTTAATAATTTCTCATGGAAATATGCTGAAACCTAAACCCAAGGAAGTTTGCTTAGTTTGTAATCACCTTTAGAATGCTGTCTATTATTTGACATGCCTCTTGTCAATAATTGTTTATATCCATTGAAAATATTGGCATGAGAAAAACAGGCTACTGGGATTATATGTATGTATGTAGTTATATTCTTCTGAAATTTGGTGAAAGCTTTAGGGGCCTGTGTAGTTCCTGACTTTTATGCATGAGTTGATTTCCAGGCTTCAGGACAGAATTCTTAAGGGCATTGACTGTGCTAGGAAACTCTCCAATTAATGGAATGTTTATAGACTCTTGCTATGCACACTGCCAAACTGAAATGCAGGAAACATGGTTCAGAAGTGACTCTCCGCAGCTAGCCCACACAGTAAGAGGCTTAATTTTTTATTTTGTTTTTAATTTTCTTTCCTTCATATCCAGCTGAATAGCTAGCTGACTTGTCTGCATATCATTCTGCAGACAATTGCAAAGGCTGTAGCAGATTGGTTTTATGAAAGAAGGCCTTTCCATCATATAGATTGCCCTTACCCTTGCAATCCAAGTTGTCCCATCCCCATTATTGATCCACAAGACCACCCAGGAGTATAGATTCGTTTCATCAAAATTCGTACATATATATATATATTCTTTATCATTCTTATAAAACCACATTTATTGGTTAACTATTGATTGAATCATTGAACAAGAGAAAAAAAAAATATGATTTATGATTTTATCAAGCAATCAAAATAAGGCCGCCACTGCCCTGAACTTGTGTGCTGGGCGCTCTCCATCATCATTGTTTAATGTCACATTTGCTATATTCTTAATAAAAATTATTATATTCTTTGCTGATGCTACTACATGTTGTATAAGAGCTTTATATGTTGTGTGGATGTTAGAAAAACATGACCACCAAAGGAACGTCGGATGCATCAGCTAGAAAGCCCAGTTTTCCAAAACTATCAAACAAGGTGAGCTAAGTTGCAGTATTCTGCAATGAAGTCAAAATTTGAAGTGAAATTTCATGCTTCTGTTTATGTGCCTGACATTTCAGAATCAGAACGTTCCTAACACAAAAACCAGTTTGATTCCAAATATGATCAACTTTTGCATTGCATCCAACTTTTTTTTCACAGAATTTACAACGGAAAAAGAATGAGCAAAATTGAAATATAATAGAAATGATGCCAGCAATGCTATAATTTTAATTTTCATATTCGTTTATATTTAAAACTTTATACTATCAATGAACTAATTTTTTTTTTTTTTAAAGAGCTAAACATTAATTGTATTATTAAAATATCTTATTAATTAAAGTATATATGCATCTCATAAGTGAATTCATAAAAATATATCAGTCCTATTTAAACGCGCGCCTTGAGCGATTGCACTGATATCCTTTCTCACCTCTCGAATTCAAGACTTGATTACTGATTAGCAATTCCGCGATCTCCGTCGTCGCTCGCCGCCGTGGCCACCGTCACGAACTGAACTCACCTTCGTCGGAATCGTAGTGTTTGATGGTATGAGTCGTTACGTTGTAACCTGTCTTCGCTTCTATCTCGATTTCGTTTCACTGGGGGCCAAAGTACGAAAACATGTATGTGTGAAACAAAATTTTCCAATAAAACCACACCTAACTGTATCCAGTTGTTGGCTTTTTTTAATTAATTATTTTTCTCACTACTATATGCTCCAAAACATCATGAATTGTGGTTTTGAACTCTGTTTATTTCCAGATAAACTGCATAGAAATTTAAACTTGGATGATTCATTTTTATTTTTATTTTTAACTTATAAGGAACAGTGGATTGAGCTTTTGTGCATTGAACATGGGATCAGCGGGCTTCTATTAACGTTGGTTACTCTGGTAAAACCTAAATGTTTAAAGCAGTTAATCTAATTTTTTTAGTTATTAATTTATATATTATGCAGATGGGTGACATTTATATGGTCCTTTCATCTTATAGGTCATACTATAAAAGCTGATTTGCTGATTAATTATGACCCAACTGGATCATATCTCTGGCGTGTAAGAAGCATTATGTTTTGAGTTTTGAATTGATGTGAATTTTGTTTTATTGCTTTTGCGACATATTTTTGGTATAGTTTCCAAAGCTATTAGTGTCCTGTTACTTCTCATACCTGTTGAATAGTTAATACACAATTCATTCTATGGGACCATATGCGCTCTACTGGTTAGTTTCATTGTGCAGAGCTGCTAAGAAAAATCTATTTTGGGTCTTGTGGCTATTGTAAGAGCATCCAGTTTGTTGTGACGATGTTTTTATCTGAAAGATGTTGTTGGAAAAATGTTTTTACTGCTTTTTGAGAATATACAGGTTTTCTGTGATTTGTTTGAAAATTTTCTTTCTAGTAACGTCAGTGGTTGAATAAGTTGAGGTATTTGTTTTTGAAAATTGGCAAATATTGTCTGCTAAACTTCAGGTTGACTTTGTTGAAGCACTTCTATTGGATTTATGGATTTTTCTTTTTGTTATTTTAGAAATAGTTGATTTATCAATTGGATGCTGGCAGTGCAGAACAAGAAGGAAAAGACAGTCCCGTTGAATTGAAGAACTGTCTTGTCTTCATACAGACTACAATAAACTCCGGACAGAGAGCTTCATAATTGGGTCCAATCAATGTAAGCTTGAACTTAGCTGCAATTACTTGGCCTAAATAATTTTTTGCTGCTTTATTTTGGGGGGAGGGGGTGTTTTGGTTTTACTGTTTTTCCGCTTCTGTTTATATGCCCCTTATTATTAGAAACATTTATTTCTGTGAAGCACGGAAATTGTTCCTGTTTAAATTGCTGAATTTTGAAGAATATACTCTTTAGTTGCTGGGTTCTCCCACATATCTGGGTAAATAGGACTCTAGGAGAGTTGGGCTAGGGTTGTATAAATAGGGGAGCATATATGATTATTTTGATCTTCATGACTGTTTCTGGTTGTACACTGGTGAGGGGTAATAAACTGTAATCTATATGCAAAAGTGAACTGTACATTGCCATCTTACAGTGGTTTAAGATGTTAGCGGAGGAGAGTTGAAAAAGGAATTACCCTTATTGCTTAAGTATAGCTGGCAATCCATGAAAAGGAAAACACATGGTTGTTGGGAGTTTCAAGTTTCAACTAGAAGTTTTCAACTAATATAGGAAACATCTCATAAGTGTGTGTGCGCGTGCTTTAGTGAGGTTATGCATCTGCCAATCCCAATTCCTGTGATTATGGGACACACTTGGTGGATGGTATCAACGTTTAGATTGAAGTAACAATGAATGAGTGTAGACTTGCTTCATCAGTGAATACTAAATCCTATGCTTTCCTACTGGTGAAGAACCAAATAAATCATGAACTGTATTGAACTGTTCAGGAAGAATGTGGATACTCTCATGTGATATGAGATCATTTGAGACAATTTCAGTCATTAATAAACACATCAATAATTATCATTTTCTCTCTCTATCCTTACGTGCTCTCTTTAACCATTATTTGTCTAGGAACGGTTGAGATCCTTTCATATAATCTCATACCACATGAGACTCCTGTTCATTTATCAGTGTGTTTTCTTCAGTGAGATGTTTGATCATTTTTTTTGGTGATATTAACATCAAGTTTAGAAATTTATGATGTTTCTGAATTGTAGAAAGATAGAGAGTTACATGTTGTTCTAGAATTAGATTTGCGGGTAATGCATGCCACACTTTCCGTGCATCACATGTTATTTTAAACGTCCTTGGTGCATAGTAGTTCTCATTTCATTGTTTGACAATGGAAATTTGGGATGGCAGACTTGGTTACGTCAATTTACAGGAATTAGCTTAGTGCAAGGTGCATAAAGGCTATAGCCTGCTGGTGAAGGCGCAATTGTAATGCTCACAGCATAGGAGCATATATCTTGTTGCTCTGCAAGCATATAATTCAGAATTTCTAATTCAGCATGTTAAAGTTTTTCTTTTATTAAATTCTTTTTTTTTTTTTTTAAATATTCCAATTCGATTTGTCGCTTCGCGACTAGTCCGATTCGAGGCGGGTCCAAGATTAAGACTTTAAACCCTTCTTAAAGAAAAATTTCTATTGTGCTACGGTCGCACTATTCATTGAGTGCGACCCACCAATTAAAATGGGAGTGAGAAGATGTCAATTGTACGGATGGAAAGTTAAAAAAACAAAATAATCCAAATGTCAAAAGGTGAATGGAAGTCGTACGTGCGTTGGCTGTATTGAAAAAGCGCTCCTCCCAAAGGTGATACCAAGAAGAATTGAACATATGTTCTCATCCAACCTGTTCAGCTCTTGTATACTAACTGAACTAATATGATTTGTTACTTGTAGTAAATTCTAAACAGGTCATTAGTACAAAAAAAAAATCTTTGCAGGGATACTGCGGTCAAACCACAGCCTTTTCTCTCTAGTGGTGTTGTTGGGAACATAATTTCTAACTGGGGGTGTTCAATGCCACAACGCTTTTTTTTTTTTGTTTAATTAAAAAAAAGGATATAAACCAACCAAATTATGTCACGTGGTGCAATCTGATAAGTTGCACCCCACTAGCAATCCTCAATTAATTGGGGACATTGACCATATTGCCACTCCTTTAATAAAAATTTACCTGATTGTCACTTCTGAAAAAAAGTTTGCCAAAATGCCACGCCTGAATCCCGCTGGTCTGACAAGCGATAATGGACTGAACACGTGTCAGCGTCTGAATGGTCAACCATTATCGTTGGGCTGCCCAGCTAGAATGACAGAATGCTGACACGTGGCAAAAGTACAGACATCCAGAGAATGCCTGTGCTTTTGCCACGTGTCAGTATTCTGTCATTCTAGCTGGGCAGCCCAGCGAGAATGGTTGACCATTCAGACGCTGACACGTGTCCAGTCCATTCCCGCTTGTCGGACCAGCGGGATTCAGGCGTGGCATTTTGACAAATTTTTTTTCAGATTGGCAATCAGGTAAAATTTTGCTTAAAAAGTGACAATATGGTCATTGTCCCAATTAATTGCACTATCAGGCACGATTTGGTTGGTTAATATACTTTTTTTTTTAAAAAAAATTCTCTCTTTTTCTTTATTATGAAATACTCACTTCTCTACATTCATTAATTTCGAATATTAAATATAATCAATTCATATTGATTGCATATATGTTAAAATATTATATTTTTGTTATATATATATTTTTAAAAAATTTCATTAGTATTTCATCAATTAATGGATTTACACAATTCAAGCTAATCTGAAAATAAGTAAGAAACCATAACTGATATTGATTGATGATTATTATTATAATAATTAATAATAATATTGTATTGATTAATAATTTTAATTTTTTAGTGTTTAAAATAGGTGAGTGTAAAGAAGTAAGTAAATATATATATATATATATATATATATATATATATATATATATATATATATATTAAAAAAAGGTACAGACAAATTAGATTCTGTCATGTGGCATAATCTATTGAGTGTTGATAAGGAGCCGGAATTTAGTGCTCCGGGGACACTCTTGAATTGGTGGGACGGAGGAGAAAGAAAGAGGGGAAAGACTGAGGAGAGAGAGAAGAGAAAAAAAATAAAAATAAAAATTTAATCCAAGTGTCATACTCTTAGTGGAGGGATCACCAAAATCTCGTACTATATTAAATTTTCCGTCGATAAGGGAGTTGCGGCACTCATTGTGCTATATGATGCAATTTGATTGGTTCATATTTGTTTTTTATAAATTAAATGAAACAAATTAAAAAGAAAAAAAGAAAAAATTGTCGCAATGGGGTCGGCACATTGAGCACCCTTTGAAAATTATATTCCTAATGATATCAAACAGGAAAAAAGACTATGGTTTCGGATGGGTCAAAGTTCAAACAGCCGGGATACTAGTACATGTAACTCCTCATTTTCTCTCTCTCTTTGCGTACTCATCTTTAGTTCAACAGATATGAAGTTCCATTGCCCGGGGATCTCCTGTTACTGCGGGTGCTTATCAAAGAGCTCGGCAATTACCAATTAGGGGCGGAAAATTCTTTTCAATTGTGTCCATGAAGATCTTTCTGTTGCATATTCTAACCTAAGGGCTGCTGCTTCTTTTTTTATTTGGTTATTTACCATAGAGGGCTACTTCCGTTGGCTCTTTCTATCTGCAAGGTGATAATTTTGAAATTTGAAGCCCACCTTTGAAAAAACAATATAAAAATATCATGACTATTCTTGTGCCTCTTTGGGCTTGCTTAAGTGACAACATATATAATATATTCCATATTTCCATTATCTTTGAAGCTTCTACATGAGTTGTCCACTAAGCATTGTAAAATCTGCATTGAGATCCACTATTATTATATTCATTCATCCACTATTATTAAGGGCACTATTTCGACTGAGAGACATTATTTAGAGTTCGAATATTGATATATTTTTTTGTGGAAGTGAGACTCACTTATTACCGTACCTAATCATTATTGTTACACAAGCAAATCTCAACATGCATCCAACAAATTTTTTTAGTTTTAGAATATGAGTACTTTCTTAAGCTGAGTTCCCATGTTCTTACCTGCTCCCATCCCCACACAAAGTTTCACAGTACTCAGTAAAGAATCTTAAAGTCATATAGATCCACTTTTTCACAGTACTCTATAAAGCTTAACTCTTATCGATACCCCATTGAATTTGACGCAATGCCGGAGAGGGTATCAATGGTTTGAGAATCAAAGACAACTCAGTGTTGTCCATCGGCGTGCAATGGCTACGTGAAAGGTTAAACTTTTAAAATCCTAGCTTTGATGCCTCTTTATTCTTCTTTGCTGTAATGTTTACCTGTCATTGCGGGGTCTTTTTGCAACAACTAACAACCTAAAAGATGGGTATCATATCAAATTGGATACAAATGTTTCCTTCAATATCATAAACTTAACACCACTATAAGTATTTAAAGGTTTTTTTAAAACTAGTTCAAGCTTTCCACGTTATATTATACCTCACATCATATCCATATTTTCAATACTAACTCTGAATCTCTGATCCAACTCTTGGAAGATCCAATAGCAGGTAAAGTCAATGCATTTGATTTTGCCACTTGATTGCGGGATGCGTGTAACTTGAGGCACTAAATAATTAACCTAATGGGATATTTTTCAAATCTCCAATCTTATGCGTTACTTGGTATGCCTTTCCAAAATGGAAAAGAAAAAGGAATGGGTTGGAGATCAAATTCATCACTAATTTGATAATACATAGGAAATGTAAAAGAAAAGAAAAATTAAAAGGTTAAAATTTTAATAAGTCATATTATTTTTTCCATCTTTTTCCTTTTGAAAGAAGATGAAAAGAAGTGAAGTAATTTTTGTAAACTCCACTATATATTCCCATATTATGGTTAAGAAATGGAAAAGTAATTTTAATCATATATTTTATTTGAACATGTTTGAAGTTGTTCATGAGCTTTATGTATATATCGCGGCGGTTTCTTTGGTGTATTCCGATAAAATATTTGCAGAAGCATCTACTCTTAGGGTGTGTTTGGTACAAGAGAAATTTTTTGGTGACCGGGAATCATGATTAATGGGAATTCAGTAGAAATTGAGTTTACTTGGAATCTTACGAAAGAGGTGTTTGGTTCGCCAAAATATTACCGGGAATATTGGGTAAAAATTACTGATTCCATATTTGGTTTAGAATGAAATATGACTTGGAATATGAGGTTATTTTACAAAAATAACCCCAAACTATTTTTACTTTTGTAATTGATAGATTGGGTCTAGATTTTTATGTGTATTGAGGTATTTTTGTCTCAAAATTTATTATTGTGCTTTCCCTTTACTTGGTATTCTGATTGGTATTCCGAATTACCATATTATTTTTGGTAATCTGAATAGTGACTTTTCTTTATAAATCAAATTACCAGTAATCCTTGGATATCCGGGAATCGTAATTTATTCCTTCTACCAAACGTGGTAATTACATTTACCAAAGAAGGATTACCGGTAATCCTCTTCAAAAACCTGAAACAAACACCCCCTTAAGTTAATATATTCTAAATATAGAGTATAAACGATGAGTTTAATATTTCTCAAGATAGAATTATCTTATAAATATATAAAAGTGTACGAGTCGTATGTGGAATTATGTGAGAAAATATAAACTTTATATAATTTTATATTTATATAAGAAATAATTTTATTTTATATAATGTAAGAAACATTAAATTCAATAAGAGACAAATATGCAAAGCCCAATTAGTAAATGTGACGAACTTCTTTGTATAATAGGCAGTTAGCAGGGATGAAAGTTCCCAAAAAAGAGCCTAGGATTTCTCCTATTATGGATAATGGACGTAATTAAGCTTGAGCCAAGTAATACTTCCAGCACATGCATTTATATGCTTTTTACTTACATGAAACAAAATAAAAGAGTACAAGCATTTATTTGAAACACCATTCATTTTCTTTCATATTTTCTTTCCTTATTTGTCTAGTATATTAAACAAAAGTTTTACAACAAAAGATGTTGGGAGATTCATTTATTAAAAAAAGGTAATGAGTTCTAAAAAAAATTAAAAAGATTTTTTTTTGAAAAAGGTAAGACAGGACTTGACCAGCACCCCCTGACCCGTGGCCACGACAAATTGAATGTGATTGTAAGACACGTAGCAGTGGGCGTACGACCAAAGCTAAATTTGAATCCCCCAAACCGTGCCACAGAAGAATGCCACTTTTCTTCATCGTGTCCGAATAAATTTTAGGGATTGATCATTCTTATGGTTTGCTTCAGAATTATTTATGTTTCTTTAGTTTTTTTCTTATCATATATGCTCTTGTGCTTTGTAAAAATAAGAAATCACAAGAGTATATGTGATAAAAAAACATATCCTTTTACAAACCACATGGACATATATGATAAGAAAAAAATCACAGGAACATAAGTGATTCTGAAGTAAACCACATGGGAATTGGTGAAATTTTTCCTAAATTTTAATAGAGAGTATATTAGTATATCAAAATGCAAATTAAATAAATAAATAAATGAATTTTTAAAAATCATAAATATAAGCTACGTTAACAATTTCCAGATATTAATTTATGCAACAGAGAAGGATTAACATAACTCACTTTATAATTCTTAAAAAAGTAAAATAAAACTTTTACATTTTTAATAAAGAGATCAATATTTTTATACTATATAAGATAATTTATATATGAGAAAAATATATCTCCACCAGCTTGAGATAAGTTTATCTTCAGCTATCCTAAAATTACGTCGTTTTATTTATTTATTTTCTTATATTAATTGATTCACCCTGTGAATGATTATGATTCTATTTTTCTCTCTCTTTCTTTATTATCGTTAATCCATCTTTATACAGTTATGGAATAATAGTCAGAGATAAAATTATCTCAAGCAACTTAAGAAACAAGTCCTTTATATATGTATATAAATATGCAAAATTTATGTGCCATCAGAAAAAAAACAAAAAAAAAATATAAGTCTTTGATTCTCGTTATTAATTTTAGAAGAATTTAAAGTCTTATTTTTAACATGAAAAATAATAATCCCTTTAATAAATAAAGGATTCACAAGCACAAAATTTCAAATTTTTATATCTTTTTTATCCTCTCACTTTTCTTACAAAAACAAAAAGCCTGTTTTCCCGTTTCCCTGCGAGTTGCTTTGTCTCATTCACTCAGCTACTCCCATCACCCATCTTCACTTACAAAACTCCTCTTATTTGGATCTTTTTCACATATAACACTGCTTGAGTACATCTCTCTTTAATAACCACAACAATGCAGCTTAACAGTTAACACCGTACAAAAATGCTAGTTTAGTTTGCAATCTCTGCAGATCTGAAATACCTGGGATCTCGAAAAAATCGCATTTTGATTTCTGGGTCTTGCTATTTGGCGTATTGGGTAATCGGAAAAGCATTCGTTTTGCGGATTTTTTTTTTCTGGGGGCATTGTTTGCACAAGATGGGGTCCAGTAGCAGCAAAGGCACTTCTTCATCTTGCAGTGGCAGTTTTCGAAAGGGTCGATCTAGGGGCCATAGAGGTTTCCCATCTTATTGTCTAGGAACAACGTCTGGATCTCGTGACACTGATAATGACGACGACGAGGTAACTCACTATATTATTCGGAAATTTTCACAATGTCATTTTTTTTTTCTCGCTTCTTTAGCTCATCTTGAAAACTAATATGCTTCTGTTGAATTGGATTTTGATTGTAAAATGGAGCGTGCTAGTAGGATTACACTGCTAATGATTCAGAAATTACTTGTTTTCTGGCTCTGTTCACTGTTAGATGAATTAGATTTTAAAGGATAATCATTTTTCAATATTTTTATTCAGTTTATCCGTTTTTTTTTTAATCAAGTATGTAAGACATATTTTCCCCTTATATGCATGGGGTAGTGCTATTCATTAAATTTCCAGTTACTTTTAAATGGATTTGATTTAGAACATAGTGTTCAATCTCACTACTCGCACTACAAAGGAGTTGCTTACTAGGAGTTTATTGCACTACTGTTTGGTGTCTATACATTTATAATAATAAAGTATATGATAAGGAAAATGAAAGTTATTGGTTTTGTTTGATTTCATACTTTGACATTTATCACTTTTGTGGATATTTCTTGCCCTGTAATGTACTGATGCTTAAGAAGGAAATGATGTAACTTAATAAGCTATTATAGAAAAATGCAAATATTATTTTATACAATAAGGCAACTGCTAATACTTTGGTTTCCTGTTACAACATGCAAGTTTTATAAATTTGGTGTCTTACTGTATCAGAATTCAGAACTTTTTGGCTCTATGCCTCTGTCCTATTGATTGTTACCCTCATCGTCCTAACGGGTCTTTTTTGATTTTTAAATTATTAGATGCCTTTCAGGTAATTTTTCAAAATAATATAATGTAATAGTTTCTCGTTCCAATTTGTTTGTTTCAGTATAACTATCATGTATTCGTAACATTTTTGGTTAATTGGTCAAAGTTTTGTGGTACTAACTGCCTAACTGTAGTTTGCAACTCATGCTTTAGGTTTGTGATCAGAATAAAGTAAATGGAAGTGATGCTACGTACACCAGTGGCAATGAAATAGACTCAGATGAAGTGAAAACAGAATCTTTTAGAAAGTTGAAATCTGATAAATCGGATGAAATTCCTTGTATGCCTTCTAACATTGACCTTGATGACTGGGATCACACTGCATCCAGAACTGGTAGCAGCTCGGCCCATACTTCTTCAACTCAGTCCTTGAACCCTTCAAGTCGATTCCTTTCTCGCTTTAGCCTCATTCCTGGTAATATAAGCTTCAGACTTAGCAGAACCACCAGTTTGGGGTCATCTAGGCCTTGCCCTGCTTCTTCTGCAAGCCTCTCAATATTTAACAATGAAGATGAGCTCAATCTGCACTCAGGGCCTCCTGACAGCTTGATTAATAGAAATGAAACTCCACAACATAGTGACGTGATTAATGCATCTTTTGTTAGTCGAGTGCCTATACAGTATCATGAAGATGCTTCTAATAATTTAAGTTCTAATACCTCAGCATTGGGTTTTCATGGCAACTTGCAGAGCAGTCCCACACTTTCTCCTATCCAGGATGTGGATGGAAATGGAGATGGTTCAAGAGAAGTGCCGGATATGAGCTTTTTTCCTCGAAGAATTCATAATGAGACAGAAAATCTTGAGACTAGACATACTGATAGACGAAATGGAGCTCGAGAACCTGTTGAACCTAATGTTAGTTTTAGCAGAACTTTAAGTGTTGGAAGGCTTCGAGACAGAGTTCTCCGCCGATCAACAATATCCGACTTCACCTTTTGCCCTCTGCAACAGGAGAGAGAAGTGAGAGATGCTAATCAGGATAATGGAAGACAAGTATGGGAGAGAGATACAAGAGTGTTACCATCTGGTCGTAATGCTGTAAATTCTCCTTCTACATCTGGATCTCCTCTACCCAGTATGTCTAGCTCCATGTTTAGCAACCAAGACTATGAGCTTGAGACTTCAAGATCAAGAGAAACTAGGTATCAGGATCTACTGGAACATAGGTCGAATTTCCTTGAACGGAGAAGAAGAATACGATCCCAGGTTTGTGGAATTTTTGAATTTTCAGTAACAAGTGATGGTTTGATAATATGTTACCACTTACCAAGCAAAAAGCATAGCCTTATTATAGTAGAAGAAGAAAAAAAGAACATAGACAAAATGTTGTGCTTGTAATCAGTAAATGTGGCACACCCACATGTAGCAAAAGTAATGGGTTTGATATTGGCATAAATCATAAAATTATGAAACTTCGAAAAAATAAATAAAAAATAACCACTAAGACTTGGCATTAGTTCTATGGAAACATCTGTACATGACCTACTTCCCCGTGCCCTGGATTTTATTCGAAGTTAATGATCTACATTTAAAATGGTTTAGGTTCGCGCTCTTCAGCGATTGGGAAGCCGGTTTGAAAATCTTTCTGGACATGACAGATCGTGTATCTTGTCCGGTCAACATAGAAATGGTCGTTGTACATGCCGAATCATTAGTCGTGATACCAATACAAATGATGATACCAATGCTAGAGCTAGCATATCAAGAATTGTTATGCTAGCTGAAGCCTTATTTGAGGTAATTTTAGTGTGCTGTTAGCTATTCTGGTGGCCATCATTATATATTGATACAAGTTGAATATTTGTACATATTTTAATTAGGTTCTGGATGAAATTCATCAGCAATCTGTGGTTTTATCTTCCCGCCCTTCTGTCTCTTCTATTGGATCTGTTCCTGCACCTATTGAAGTTGTGGAATCCTTGCCTGTGAAATTATACACAAAGTTGCACAAACATCAAGAAGAACCTGTACAGTAAGTATTCAGGCTTACTCATCACTTGGTGTTCATTTTTCAAAATGCCATCATAGAATTTTTTCTTTTCCTTTTCTTTAATATTTTTTTTTCTTTCATCTCTTTTTAGTAACATGTCACATAAAATTTACATAGTGTGCAACTTTTCCAAAACAAAAATTAAAAAGGAGAGTGCAAACAGTGATCAATAATATGTAGTCATGTCTTAGGAGGCCACTGGCTTGGATCACAATATGCATTTTTGGATGTTATAATGTTTTACATGATGACATGAAAATGCCAACTGATGCCAGATACTGTGAAAGTTTACCTCCCACTTCCATATCCTGTTGTTATTGTTGTCATTAGCATAAAAAAATATAGCTTTAACTATTCGTGGATTTGAGGTATGGTTTATACGTACGTCTTTGTTTAGATTCTCATGACTCTTATTTTTTTTACCATGGAGTGGGGCCTTCTCTTACCCTTTTTTTTTTTTTTTTACTTAGTATGCTAATGTACATTTTTTTTTGTTGATAAATTTATTATTAGTACTGTCAAACTTTAGACTAGTTTAGGTATTTCACTAATATTGAATTTTAATAATCTGTTTTTCACCTTTGCTAATACTTTAATTTCACAGATGCTATATATGCCTTGTGGAGTATGAGGATGGAGACAGCATGCGAGTACTGCCTTGTCATCATGAATTTCATAGAACATGTGTAGACAAGTGGCTGAAGGAGATTCACAGGTATGTGGGAATCGAGATTTGGGTGTATTCTTCTGGTTAACTATGGTTAAAAACTTCAAATTTATAAAAAATTGCCTATTACTACATATATTCCTGCCAATTTACTGCTGTATTCTATAAATGTGTTGTTTGTAGCTTTACACCTAACTCAACATGTGTTAGAGGTGCTTACAAATGTATATCACTAACTTTTTTATATTATACACAGGGTATGCCCACTATGTAGGGGGGACATCTGTATATCTGATTCACTGCCAACATAGAACAAAAGTGGCAATTTGTTAAAGTGTTACACATTCACTAATGTGACTCTCAGAAGAAGCTCATTCCTTTCTGCTAGTATTGTCATTGTTGTCAATGATTATTTACTCCAATTTCTGAATAAACAGCAAACCATGGTAGAAATATAGACTCAATTACTAGCTCTCTCTCTCTCTGCTTTCATCACCAAGTGAAAGAGAGGGCCAAAAAAAGGTGGGGGGTGGGTGGGAGCTATTGTTTAATGAGGAGTTTTTCAAACATGTTTCAGAAAAGGTCCTCATGTTGTATCCGACATCTTTTTTGTTTTCTCTCACTCTCCCTGCTTGTTTTAACATACCCAACAATTCGGCAAAAGGAGGGGGGGAAAAGGTATCAGTCAAATGAGCGCTTTTCATCATTGGTGAAATTGCAGATTTATAGCAACGCATCTTTGACCGAAGCATTGTCTTTATTTTTAGACCAGTCAACCAAGTGCTTCAAAACAAAAAATAGCAGCGTGTGATACCTTTTTTCACTTTTCATAGGAAAAAGGGAAAAGAAATATTTGAATAGCAGTGTAAGAATAGATGAGAAAATTGGTAATTTTATTGAGGGAAACAAGTCCTAGTAATTCCTGATTGTCTCCTGATAGACCTGAAAGATCAACTACACTGCGATTTGAACAACTTTGCCTCATGCTTTTTGTTGTCTGGTTCTTGTTCTTCCAATGTAGAATTATGATTTTGCGCCAGGGACACACTAATCACTCATCAGATTATTATTATTTTTTAACGTAAATCAATTAAGAATAAATTCGATGTACAAACTTTCCCCATTTTACGAATTGACTGCGTTATGTCAAGTCGTTCACATGGCCAAAAGAACATATTTGGTTGGTTCAGTCCTACAATACAATGATCCTTAGAGTTTTGCCTCATGAGCTGATAGTTAATACCATCTGTTGCCAAAGCACAGTTATCAGTTTCAAAACACATGCAGAGGTGGAGTATCAACAATCATAAGCACATATGCATGTCAGTCACACAAACTGAACAAGTTTTCATTTTATAGGCACCATCACATCTCAGTTCGTTTTATAATCTCGAGATTACACTCGTATATTCCATTTGAAATTTGAAATCCACTTTTAACCGAATGCTAAACTTATATTTAATAATATATACAAAAAAAAAAAACTTATATTTAATAATACAAGACGAGCCACTAAAAAAATAATAGTATAGTTATTTTTCCATAAAAGATGCTATATTATTAGAGTAACTAATGTTTTATTGCAATACCCTTTTTTCATTACAAACTTTCAAATATTTAACCTTCCATTGTATAATGCCCTCTGAGTCTCCGACGACTTGCGAGGATTGGGATGAAAGTTGATTGTATGCAATGTTATTCTCGTTCTTTTGCAAAGAAACTATTTTTAAACTCAAACTCGTAATCTTTCGATCACAAAAAACAATCTTATCGCTATCTCATGGCTCACCCTTAATAAAGTTTTATTTACCCAAAATAAAAATATTTGTATACTTAATTAGGAGTAGTGGTGGCCATTTGGGTTACGAATGACAAGAATTTAACATGAACACGACATGAATTCAGAAATGAGTCAAAATCTTTGACACAAACATAACTCACTTATTTTGCGGCTGACACGAATAACCCACTAATCTCAAAGCGTGTTGTTTGTTATACGAGTTAACATGGCATGACACGAACAAATAACTTGTCAAACTCAGAGTGTGTTATTTATTATGCGTATTGACATGACACAAGATAATACGATATGACACAAATAATAAGATTAATACAACTTAATTTTGTGTCAATTTTTACCAATACAAACACGATACAAATCGTATCATGTCAATAGATCGGGTTTAAAATTGCCATCCGTCTAATAGGGAGGGATTAAAATGAAATTACAACTACACAAAATATATTGGTTTTAATAGCTCTCCTGTTGCTGCAGATCAGAAAATTTGCAGCAACACTTACTTCCACTACGATCCGGTTCTGTATCTTGGAATTTTTTATTTTATTTTTTAATTTCAGGATCCGCTCCATATTTTATGTAAATATGTTTGCTGCAAGTTTTTTATCAGCAGTGACAGCAGAAATGAGGAACCCAAATATATTATTATTATTTTTTAATTCTTTATGCACAATGGCACTAGTTGGACTTGGATGCAGCTGCACGTTGGGTACGAGGCCCAATCCTTTATGTTGGCCCAGTTGATAATTCAGAAAAATAATCAGAAAAGAGAGTTGAGTTGAGCTGAATTGTGAGAATTTGAGTAAGGAAAGAGAGTGTGTGTGGACTGTGGAGTGTGAAGTCTAAACGGAGAATGGGAGAATTGTGACGATGGAGAACATAAACGACGATGGTTCCGCACAAGATCTCGATCCTCAAAGCGACCATAGCTCCGATTATTTAGCTCACTCACAACCTCAGCCTCAGCCTCGTCGACCGCGCGGCTTCGCGGCGGCTGCAGCTGCCACGGGGACCAATTCCGCCGGAAAAGGGAAGAAGGAGAGGGAAAAGGAGAAGGAGCGCACGAAGCTCAGGGAGCGACACCGTCGAGCAATCACGAGCCGCATGCTGGCTGGGCTCCGTCAGTATGGGAATTTCCCTCTGCCGGCGCGTGCCGACATGAATGATGTACTCGCCGCTCTCGCGCGTGAGGCTGGTTGGGTTGTTGACACCGATGGCACCACCTACCGCCAGTGTCCCCCTCCTTCTCACATGGTGTGTTTCTCTATTCTCCAGAAATTCTCTTGATCGAGCTTAAACTCGCTAATCATTCTGTTTTTCTTGTTATAGAAGGCTCCAATTTGTTGATAGGTTAGAAGGTTTGAAACATGAGAAGTAACCAATTGTGGCAATGTGCTTGAGTTTAGTTAGTTGCATTCTTTACCTTCGTATAACATAGTATTATGCAGGGATCATTTGCATCAAGGTCAGTTGAAAGTCAACTCTCTGCTGGTTCTTTGAGAACTTGCTCTGTTAAGGAAACGCTAGAGAATCAGCCACCAGTCCTTAGAATTGATGAATGTTTGTCGCCTGCTTCCATTGATTCTGTTGTAATTGCAGAAAGGGACTCAAAGAATGAGAAATATGCAAGTGCAAGCCCAATCAATTCAGCTGACTGCTTGGAGGCTGATCAGGTGATTTTGGCGACGAATTATAGTGTTTTGTATCATATTTGGTGCCAATTCAGATTTACACCAGCAATCATTTTAGTTGTCCTCAGTCCTCACTGTTTTTCATGTTAGTGGTTGTCTGAAATCTAAACAATTAACTATGTATAATCTGATTCTACAATCTAAATGTTTTCTTGATATACCGCTGGTTGGAGACTGTAAATTAGACAACTCTTATACTATACTTTTCTGATGGTATGGGCCAGAGTTGCGTACCAATTGCATAAATTTTATTTCATGTGTTATTGTTTTTTACCCTAGTGATGGGTTTAAATTTATAATTTTTTTGTGGAGCAGTAATTGAAGCCATGTGATTGCTCTTCTTCTTGATAAGGCATTATGTCATTTGTTTGTTCACTTTTTAGCAACATTCACTGAGGGTGAGCCTTGTGATAGTGCCGTTCCTTTTGTCACCAAATGATCTATTAGGTTACATTTTGCAATTTGCACAATGAAAGAAGTCATGGAGTGTATTAACAGATACACATAGTATTCAGAATATGCTCCCCTTGTTTTTGAAGTATTATTGATTGACATATTGTTATGTGGACAGTGGACCACCCATCCATCTGGACAACCTGAGTATCAAGATAAGTAAAATTCATTTGAAATCTTTAGAAGTAAAAATGTTGACAATGCAATGCTGATATAGAACCATGTAGAAGATTTGACGTGCTCCAAAAATTTACCGAGTGATGCTAATCTTGTCTCATGCATCGAGGGCTTTATTTTGGTTCCTTGTAAGCTAGATAGTTTCAGGACAGGAACACAACCATGCTTTGTATTACGTGCCTTCAACTTTTGTATTAACACTCACTGGGTGGAGCCTTATGTATGGACAGTTGTAATCCAGGACTATCTGATTGTGAAATTTGTTGATGCAGCTTATGCAAGATATTCATTCTGGGGTGCATGAAAATGACTTTACTGGCACGCCATATGTTCCTGTTTACATAAAGCTTCCAGTAAGTGTCTTCTATTTGCTGCTTGCTGAATGTCTAGCTAGCATCCAACCTGATTTCTTCTAGACAACAAATTATACATTTACAGGTTTTATTTTGTGTGTCCTTTGAGGCTTTGACTGTGTTTGCCTTACATTTGATTATAGGGTTTCTAAAATTATCCTTTTATTGCAGGCCGGTATTATTAACAAGTTTTGCCAGTTGATTGATTCTGAAGGCATTAGGCAGGAGCTAATCCATTTGAAGTCTTTAAATATAGATGGTGTTGTTGTGGATTGTTGGTGGGGCATTGTTGAAGGCTGGAGCCCACAGAAATATGTCTGGTCTGGTTATAGGGAGCTTTTTAACATTATTAAAGAATTCAAGCTGAATTTACAGGTATACATTTTAATTTCTCATATCATCTTATACATGCATTCATAAAGGGCCGACCCAGTTCAAATACCCACTTCGTGAGTGTCTGGGGAAGGGAATACTCTAGGCAGTCTTTCCCCTGCTTTATACATGCATTCATGTCCATTAAAAAAAAATTATCCAACATGAGTATGTTTTTGAATGTATGCTATGTGGTGCATGTCTGGGGTTTTGGTAATATGACCAAATCATTTATTTTCTATTACAAAGGTGACTTTTCTGGTTTGGACTTTTGATGGAAGTCCTGCTTATTAAATGGTTGAAAATAGTAAAAAAAAAATGAAGGGACAAAATAGGGAACAAAGAGGGATGTGATGGAGGAAGGAAGCGTGTAACTTAAAAAAAAAAAAAAAGGAGGTCAGAATGAGATGTTGTCAACTCTGTATGACATATCTATTTTTGATTACTTGCAAGCTACTCTCACATTTTTTCTTTCAATCTGTTTTTCAGGTCTTCTGTTATTATTTAGACATAATAACTAGTGGATGATTTCAATTGTATTATTTCTTAAATATTTGTTTTTCAGTGTAATACATAAAATTGTTTCCCTAGCTTGCATAATATGTAAAACATCATATTGTTTAAAAAATTTCAGAGGTTTCTCTAATTTCTGTGTATTCTTGTCATGGACGTTGTTGAACCTATTATTTTAAATTTTGAAGGTTGTTATGGCATTTCATGAATGTGGAGGGAATGATTCTAGTGATGCATTGATTGCCCTCCCACAATGGGTTTTGGATATTGGAAAAGACAACCAGGATATATTCTTCACAGATCGTGAAGGACAGAGGAATACTGAATGCCTTTCTTGGGGAATTGATAAAGAGAGAGTTCTCAAAGGCAGAACTGGAATTGAGGTATGAAAATATCTAATACATCAATTACTCTACTTGATTCAAAATTTGGTATTCACTTTATATTGTCAAATGTTGGTTAGTAGCATTTACATACTGATTTCCATTGTAGTTATGCATTTCACCTAAAAAGAAAAAAATTATTTCTTGTATGTGTTTGATTGTATGCGGTTATTGGAGGTTGTACATTTGATTGTATATATTTTTTGAAGTGCTCCTCAATTAAAATCTGGATATGTTCTTATTTATTGTTTGTTTTGCCTTCTCTAATATATACAGGTCTATTTTGATATGATGAGAAGCTTTCGGACAGAATTTGTTGACCTGTTTGCAGAAGGTCTGATTTCTGCCATAGAAATTGGACTTGGAGCATCTGGGGAGCTGAAATACCCTTCTTTCTCAGAAAGGATGGGATGGAGGTATCCTGGTATCGGTGAGTTTCAGGTACCTAATATTGTGGCCTCATTTCAAAATAGTGTATTATTCTATATTGTAAATTGTGTATGTGCTATTATAATTTTTTTGTTAATGAAGTAGTCCTGTTTTCTATCTCATCTTCTATGGGCAGTGCTATGATAAGTACCTGCAACACAGTCTACGCAGAGCAGCCAAATTACGTGGTCACTCTTTCTGGGCTAGAGGACCAGATAATGCTGGACACTACAACTCTATGCCACATGAAACTGGATTCTTTTGTGAACGAGGTGATTATGACAACTATTATGGACGCTTCTTCTTACATTGGTACTCTCAGACATTAATAGACCATGCGGATAATGTGCTGTCTCTTGCAAGCCTTGCTTTTGAGGAAACAAAAATAATTGTCAAGGTAGTGTTTCTGGTATATCAGTTTTTTCTATAGTACTTTCATCTTGAAGTTGTGTGTGACTATATTTGGATAATGTTACTACCAGTAACGAGTGCATTCATAATTGATTGACGGTACTTAAGAGTCAGTTTGGTATCCCCTTAAAACTGAGGTTGCATTTACTATACAATAAAAATTAAGAGAGCAACTTTTCATGGAATAAATGTTATTGGTGAATACTTTCTTAACCCTTAAAAGTCATAGATATGTGGTAAATGAACACAAATTTTGGTGAATAAATGTTATTGTTCCAAAGATTATTTTTGAAGTAAATTTTGCTTCCTTAAAAATTTCTCCACCCTTACCACCAAACCAAACATAGCCTGAGGGTGAAAAATTCAAGGATGGAATTTTTGTATGAAGTTGGTTCTTGAATTTTGCACCCCACTTTAAAGGGATATCAAACTGACACTTTATTGACTAGTAATACGAGATAATTCTTGCTCAAGGCATTTGCAAAACCATTAATAATCCAGTCTGTTAAAGTTGTAATTTTGTGATGCAGTGTGGCTGCCAATTCAGTCTGTCAATTCCTTTAAACATTTTAATGTAGCTGGCTCTAATTGGAATCATTACCAGTGATGATTTATTTCCGATGCTTGTTTTACAATAGAAAATGCTTCTGTTGGAATCTTTTTTGCGTTTGTGTGCAGGTAAGTGGTCAGAAATCAGGATTTGACGATCCAATGCAAAAGGAAAAATCAATCTTTAGTTTATGCTTAGAGTTATTTAGTGCCACAGGCATTTAACCTTAGGAAGCATGGTCATTGCATCTGAAAAAAATCATATCCCACCCTAGAAAGTAAAAGCATATAAACTGAAGTTATATCATTTTCTCTAAATTAATGAATAAATGCCTTAACAGATCATAGCGTGCAGGTTCCTGCTGTATACTGGTGGTATAAGACTCCTAGTCATGCAGCAGAGTTGACAGCAGGATATCACAACCCCACAAATCAGGATGGATATTCCCCCGTGTTTGAGGTTCTGAGAAAACATGCAGTCACCATGAAATTTGTCTGCTTAGGATTTCATATTTCCAGCCAGGAAGTTAATGAATCATTGGTTGATCCGGAGGGATTGAGTTGGCAGGTATAATTTTAGATTCCTACATCTTTAATGTTGACTGGAATATTTGTCGTGATAAGTTTTGCCACCGTAATCCAGTGATACTTGTTCAGAAAGTTTCCATATGTCATTTTGATTAACTTGGACCGATGGATGTTTTCATCTATTTGTTATGAATGATGATTACTTGTTTATTGTTCCACAGGTATTGAACTCAGCTTGGGATCGGGGGTTGATAGCTGCTGGAGAGAATGCACACCTTTGCTACGATAGAGAAGGGTACAAGAGATTGGTTGAGATGGCAAAGCCCAGAAACGATCCTGATCACCGTCACTTCTCCTTCTTTGTTTATCAGCAACCATCTTTGCTTCAGGGAAGTGTTTGCTTGTCAGAATTGGATTTCTTCATCAAATGCATGCATGGTAAGGATCCTTAGAATCCACTCTGGTCTATATGGAAGTATTCTTTTTATGCGGTTGTTTGCACAAAGTATGGTATTCGTCCAAGATCTTTGTTCCACTTGTTCTTTTTCACTTTTTGGCGCTTCATTACCCAACTTTCCATATCAGATTATCTGTGTCTTATAGCTGTTGTGTAGTAGAAGTTCCCTTTGAGGTTGATAGACGGTGCTGTTACAAATTATGCCTGAAGCATTTTGCAATTTTATTCTCCCTGTCTGAAGAAATAATCTTCTTTGATTAAGTTTCTTAACTATATTATTGAAACTGAATGTTTCTCAAGCGGGCTTGTGATGATTCTCAGACATATTGTTAAGTTTTATAATTTCTCCTTTCAGCAAATATTTTCCATCTAATGTTTATTATAGCTAGCTATGCTTGCAGGTGAGATGACAGGAGATATGTAATGGCTGCAAAATTTTACTTTTTAACTGTAGGCCATTGAATGGGTCGCAATTACCCACTATGCTTGAAAATATCTGGTTGTCTGATCTCATGGCAGTGTAGTGTCATCTGTAATAATGCTATCTATATATAATATTTATAGGCTTCAAGGTATGGCTATCTACGCCCCAGGCATCGACATACCATATTGGATAAGTGCTTTAGCAAGCTTTGCAAAGCTAGAGGCTAAGTTCTATGGATTATCATAGTGAAAAAATTAAAAAAATAATTCATTCCAATCTATCTTATCGACAAAAATGGGTAATTATGAAATAAATTGTGTGGTAAGATTTTATGAATAACATTATTGGGTATAATAAGATGAAATAAGTCTAATTCTTACTTTGTCTAGACTCTGTTATTCGAAATGCATTTTGGTTGTTCAAAATCAATTGAGCCCCTAACCTGAATCTCAACGTGATTAGATATTAGTCCAGTCCCCTAAGCATGCAATGAGTGCTACACCATGGATTCCTCAACATGTTTTTTTTTTTCTTTTGGGTAAACCAACATATTGTTTTAAAAGCAGTGGAACTTGAATTATCTGCAGTTGTCTAGTTCTCTGCGAATGATGCTGCAGAGAAGACGCGCGTGATCGAATGACTCTGGCACCGCAGGTAGAAATTGAGAGTAGGAGCACCGTTGCAATTGTATCTGATCTGAGAGAAACGTTGCATGGGAAAGGCAAGGTTACGATGTTTCATAACAAGCAAGGGGAAGCAGCTGTGCGAATGTATTTGATACTGAATTTAATAAGTTATAATTTAACAAATGTTAATATTAGGATTCCTTTGAGATTCTCGCATCTACATTCTGCAATTTTTTTAAAATGTTAATGCAAATTAGGTTAGTATAATGCGTCATATGAATGTTTCTTATCAATTACTCGCAAAATAAATGCAAGATAAAATTCAAGTACAATATTGAATACGCAAATGTTCCTTGAAAGTCAATATATTATGTAAATACTCTACTAGCTCCTGGAGTAATATTAGCTGCGGTATCGCGAAATTAAGAAATGAAATCTTCAAAAAATATAAAATGAAATAAAACAAAATCTCTTGCGCAAAATTAACTCATGAATTATATAGTCCTCCCAGTATAACAGCCCATCTTATTATTTACTTCCTTCTTTGTAATTCTTGCATGTTTGTTCGAGTAAAACCACAATTCATCAGCAGGTTGATCACCTGTGTAAAGACCACAAAAGAAATCCTACTCAGACAAAATTCAATGTACATCAGATCACATTCATGTATAGGGCAAATCTATGGTGTCCCCACACAAGTTGGGTGTACCTGTACAACATGAGAAGAGGACCATTAGACGACTAGGAATATTTAAATAGATGGTTGTAGACCTTACAGGTTTTTATCCTCTACAGGCAACCACATAGCCCACTTATACCTGCTGCTCAAGCTATATAGCATATATCACCTGATAAACTCGATAGTAATCAGAGCACAAATTCCAATTCCAATCTTGTAAAAATAAAAATGCAGGGCTTTGGGAGTTGAAAATGGAGGCAAGAGCCACTGGCATACATGGTTGTCAGAGTTCTGTCATGTGAGATGCAAACCCATCGTTAACAGGCCAGAGCAGGTATTGATAAAGATACAGTAACTTAATGAAGATGTGGTTGTGGAGAACTGGTGGGTTATTTGGTAGACTACGGAGGATAAAAACCACCCTGAAGCACACAATTGTCCATTTAAAGATTCCTAATCCAAGAGTTAACATCTCTTATATATACTTAAGTGTACAAGCACTATAATATAAACAAACAAACAACAAACAAATGCAGAACATACCTCAAGGTTATATTCACTGCATCTCTCAATGACATAGTTATTTGATGCATTATATTTTAAACCGGTGAAAACTTAACTTTGAGAATCGCAATACCGAGGGAATTCACATTTGCACACACCTGCTCTAACCTGGTACACAGAAAAAGTGATTTTTAACATTACAATATTTTAGCCAGGAAAGAAAAATCTTGGAACAAACAGTTTTTAATTATTATTAGTGAAAGATTGCATGCACTGACATATCTCTTAAGAATTCAACACTTTTGAAAACATAATTTATCATGTAGATGTCTAGGTTCATTTATTGTGTAAATATAGTATTTAGGAAAATTGTGTAGTTGAAAAACATGGTTTTCAGCGTATGATTCTCTTTTCTTTCTCTATATCAATATGGTATCTGAGCCTCTATGCTTCAGTTGCAAATGACTTGCGTGAGGGGCATCAACATCAACATCGATATCATCTTTATTCGAAACTAATTGGGATCTGCAGTTGATAAACCCAAATAAAAAAGCAAGAAAAGATTGAGAGAAAAAATGAATAAAGGAAAAAAAGATTAAAAAAAGTCATATGAAACATAGGAAATAAGGATCTATCAACCCCTCCACAATGCTAATAGTTTTCCTCCACTTCATTCTAAGACAAACCATACACTAATATTTTTCCACCCCATTATGTCTACAATACCATTAATGTGCCTGCATCAAACCACCAAAGCTTCTCGGAAAATTGGTTTATGACAAACAATAATGGTGAACCATGGGCATATGAATTGTTATCAAGGTGTTTCTGAAGCATGTGTCTAATAACTGGATTTAAAGAAATATTGTACAGGAGAATTATAGTTTATATCAACCGATCATATCACCTAAATCACAAAGAACAAAAAATAAAATAAAAATAGATTGAAAAGTACACATGAAAAGCCATAAACATCAGAAGGAGTTAATGACAGAGCAGATGCGGCAGCTATGAAATTACCAATAAGGGGATTCCAATGGTTGGATTAATTCCCTTAACACTATCAAAATTCTAATTTTTTCCTGTGCTGAACAACTAGATACTAAGTCACTAACAATAAAATATACTACGGGATTTAATATGGTACTTTTAGGCAGACAAAATACAATAAACCTTGACATCCACACACCTTGCGAAATGTAAAAGATACCCTTCTTGAAGCCCTTCTGATGACTCTGCCATTTACTTTGTCTACCTGTGGGGGGAGAAAATATATTCAGGTGCAAAAATATACTGTCAATCTTCACGTTTTCTGCTAATAAAAGAATACCCTAGATTTCTCATTTAAATGTGAGAAATTAAGACAGCAAAGCGGCCCTATCACACAACACATGAAGAGAGCTACAAACTGATGGGACTAAATGCGGTAGCCAACATCTTACTTTGAGTAAAGTTATAAGTTCATCAAAAGGACAAGCTTTTGGTTTAATATATACCTTTATTAAATTTAAGAACACATACCAGAAGGGCTCAATGTACAAAGCAGCATAAGGAAATACAAATTGTCTTATGACAAAAAAAGCACATAAAGAATCTCAACATTTAAATACATAAATTCTCAAACATGGTTCTTTTGGAAAATAGCATTCTTCGCAAATTTTACACTGAAAATTTGAGAAAACTTTTGGCATGCTCATGAGCAAAAATAAAATAAAAATGTTTTCCTCCTACTCTCTCATGCCCTTTAAGATATGCTTAGCATCATTTTGTTGAATAAAATATCAAAATGACCAGATTCAGAAGTGTAACAATTTCTTTCATCATGTAAAAGGGAAAAAGTATAATCATTTCCTAAACATTATACCTTGTGATGTGGAATGTAATGCTGCCATGCATAACGTGCTTCTCCAGACATGAGTAGCAAAGATCGAGGGGGGAGATATATAGCCCTCCTTATAAAATTTGAATCATCTTCTGGACTTTCTACTTTTGTAGCAGCACTTGAGATAACTCTAGGAAGGCCATCACTGTTTGCATATCGTCTGAACTCCATTATACAAGGCCCTGACAGTGAAAGGCTGAAAATTAAATCTTCAAATGCAGAATGGGTGTCTATATGGGGGGACAAGCCCACACCAGGTGGGTACTCATTGACCTGTAACATAATTAGCAACATTAAAACTTAGAACATCAAACACAAAAACAATGCTTACATCTAAAAGCATCAAAGAGTGTTCAAGTATTAATTTGCAATAACTAAAATTTTTCTCATGAATGAACAAGTAAATCCAATAGCACTTATTATTAGATTAAAAATTCACGGAGTACAGTAGTAAGCTAGCGTACCGTAAGTTGGTCCAAAACTACATTTTCAGCATTCTTGAAAGTTGAACATGATGAGATTCTTTCAAGTATTGGAGAAACAAATGATGGAAGTTCGCCTAAGCAATGCCTTGTATTAACATTCCTAGTCTGCACAGCCAAACAAAGTAGAAAAGAGAGTGTAGATTATTCAATATTCTCGCATTACTCAACAATCTATTTGTTACGAATAAACACACATTTCCAATTAGTTTGCAATAGGATCACAAATTGTACGAAAATAATTAATTAGGTACAATGGAAAGGAACAAAACGAATAATGAGAAAAACCCAAATAATCTTTGAAACTCACATCATAACGAAACTCATAACCATAGTGTTGAACCCTTCTTTTTGAAAGACTGTTCCAAGGCCTACAGTCAACAGCTTGAAGCAATGCCTGCGAAGATGGAAAAGGCCAACATTTGTAAATGAAGTTCCAACATAGATTAAAAAAATGATTTTGAAGCAGAGAAATGCAAGCAAGAAGAAAAACAAAAAAATGCAAATATGCAAAGCAAAACTATGTAGTATTAATATGGAAGGAAAAAAAGAAAACTAACCTCTTCTTCTTTAGCAGTAATGAAGTCATGCACAAGGTAAATGCCTGGAATGCTAAGATCTGAAGCTGTGACAGATACAGGAACCAAGTCACTCACTTTATCCTGAGCAAAAACGTAAACTAATGAATAAACATAAAACATGAACCACTATAAATCAAATGACTAGTATCTATAGTACCTGTGGGGTTGGCTGAAGCACTGAATAACGGATATGCAAGGATCTACCTCCAAGTTCAGGACATGGACGTCCATCTAAAGCATTTAAGGCAGATTGTGCAGAACCCTCTTCAAAGTAAGACACAATGACACGTGTGCCACTCTCATCTGCTGCATAAACCCCCTGTAGTTCCCCAAATTTGCAGAACACAGATGCAATATCATCGTCAGAATGTCCCACTGCTCGCCCACAATTCGCCACATAAAGGTTTGAACTCAATTCACCATCTTTCTTAGGACGCCCAAACCTTGGCACACCCATCTCAATATCATATCCCAACAACGGATGAAACAAACTTCAAGCCACTAGAGTTTTTCAATTTTGTATCTTTTTTCAAATTGGTTCGACCCACTAAAAAACTATAATGAAATTATACGAATACGCCCTTCAACTTTTGAGGGTAGGAATCGAGTTCCAATTTTTTACCGATTAGGGGGACGGTTCTTCAAGCGTCGTTTATTCTAGCTCCGATCCGAGTTTACGCTGCACAAACCCACAACACTGAAACATATTGGGGGTAGGAATACTAATTTGATGGACCTAGCCTTAATTGAGCAAAGCAAACAAACTATTGAGGCCCGGACCAACCTAAAAAAAAAAAAAGAAACAGAACTTATGATGTTATGTTTTTAACATGGAAAAATATTGTAACAATTAATTAGGTGGCGTTTGGTTGGCATCTTTATGAAATTTTTCTAGGCATTTAACACAAGGTTTCCAAGAAGCGCATGTTTGGTGAAGCTCCTTCAGACCAAAAAACTAGACAACTAAAATGCATAGGTTTCTGAATTGGAAATGAAAAATATGGCTTTCGGCACTGTTAGAAAACCATTTTGGTAGGTGGGTTTTTGAAAAACCACGGATAAGTCACCGTTTGTTGAATTTCTTTGTATACTTTCCTGGTAAAATTTTATCCAACCAAACTACTTTTTTTTTACATTTCCCTATCTATTTCACTTTATCTCACTTTCTTACCATTTCCCTATCAATTCTATTTCCCTATTATTTGAAAAAAAATTCCTCAACCAAACGCCACCTTAGGGTTATTAGTTAGATCGATTATGTTGATCTAACAGTTATATTTATTTTCATCTTTATATGGTTACGATTTTCCATGTTTAATGTGAAAGCATTTTGTGTGATTATAATTTCTCATATTTAATGATTTCACATTAAATATGGAGAATCATAACCATACAAAGATATAAATAAATATAACTATTGAAGCAACATAAGCGATCTAACGGTGAAATTATTTGGTAGTAACCCTAATTAGTTGTTACAATAATCTACTTCTTTTTAATGAATGCTTTTTAATTTAATTTTTACGAGTAAATATTTATTTTCATCTCCCACATATCTATATTACATTAGTTTTCTCTTGATAAGCAACATTGAATAAGTACTTCAAGTATAAGTGATGTCATCTTAATCGCCTACTTGTTAACATAAATTAAAAATAAGAGCGTATTACGTAGGGATAAGTTTTGTATGCTTTCTTAAAAATTATGATGAAAGTGCTCTCCGAGACCATCTATTAGCATCCGAATGTTCTCCGTATACTTGACAAAAATGAGCCAACGTATTAGATTGGCTCGTAATCTGGCTAAAATGAGGGTTGAGTTAGGAAAAATGAGTTAGTAACTTGAGTTAGTCTGACTCATTTCAGCTCAAAAAAAATCGAGCCAACGCATGGGTCAAACGGATTGGCTCGCGGGTTATGTTTTTTTTTTAATATAAAAGTAAAAATTAATGAAGGTAATGCGAAAAGCTAAAACCTAAAATTCCAATTCCAAAGACCCAAACGAAAATACCATGCAGCTGACAATAAGTCCAAAATAGTGCATTAAGGACCTTTTTTATAATATGTGTGACCATGTGAATGTGGTGTCAACTGCCAATAAGTTCAAGTCCAAATGCAAAAGAAATTTTCTATGGTTTATCTGTATAATGTCTTTGTATTAAATGAATTAATAATTTAGGGGAAAAATTTAGAAGTTACAGTATCAATGAAATTTTATATTTTATTTTATTTTTTCGAGCCAAGCTGCGAACCAACCCTAACCCGACTCGGGTCGGGTTGGGTTGAGTTTTCTGGCACGTTTATTTTTCGAGCTAACCCTAACCCGGCTCATTTTTTTCGAGTTAAACGCGAGTTAGGTCAAGTTGAACGCGAGTTGCGTCGGGTTGGCTCGTTTTGTTGAGATATTCAAGTGTGATGAGTCCCACATTGGTTGGTAATGAGCTAAGTGAAGAGTATATAAGTGGAAGGGACCCATGAACCCAATGCCTTAAGGTTTTGGGTTGAGACATGATGTCGGATCCACTTGCTACGATTGGTGTAGTCTTAGCTCATTGGTGGTGGCCCTCAGCCACGGGCTTTCCTTGGACCCGCTTGACATTGGTATCAGAGCCAGATTGGGCTCGAGCTAGCCTGGTGATTCGGCTAGGAGGCGGGTCGAGTACTTTGCGCTTGGGGTACTCGGTTGAGGGGGAGCATACCAATGTTGGGTTTCACACTTGAGGAGGAGATTGTTGAGATATTCAAGTGTGATGAGTCCCACATTGGTTGGTAATGAGCTAAGTGAAGAGTATATTCGTGGAAGGGACCGATGAACCCAATGCCTTGAGGTTTTGGGTTGAGCATGGTGTCAGATCCACTTGCTACGGTTGGTGTAGTCTTAGCTCATTGGTGGTGGCCCCCCGCCACGGGCTTTCCCTGGACCCGCCTGACACGTTTTGCCAACCCTAGTTCTATGGAAAGTAAAAATTCAAATGAAGACATTTTGTGATATATATGAGTTGAAATATTTGGTTGACTAGCATTGGCAAAAGCAATAAGGTGATTTAAAATAAAGTCATTGAATAATGTGCCTTTTCAACTTCTTTTATTATTATTTAACTTGTCTTTTCTTTGTAGGAAAAAAATATAGTCTTGTCGCATGATGAATCGAAAGCCCATTAACTAAACATGATGATGATCTAATATAGGAAAAATAATTAAGTGATCCAGACCCACTTAATTATTTGATGGTCCCTCTCACATGAGTGAATTTTTTTCCAACATTTTATGGGTCAAGAGCACTACATTTCCTCTCCTAATATAGCCAAGAAAGGATGAAGAAGTGCCACATCCGCACACTGCGACATGTAGGGCTCGTTTGGTAGCAGGATTTTTTTTGTTTTTCCGGGATTCTTTGATTGGATAAATAAGAATGCATTGTTTGGTACATGATTTTTAAAATTTTCCCGGGAATCTGATTTTTCTGGAATTTTCTTTTGTGTGTAAATTTTTTTTAAAAAACCATCCAGGAATACCATCCAGAAGGTGGTATTTTAGGATTTCTATGGCAATGGAAAATTTAATACAACTAAACACAGCATCAACAAAATTAACCAAATATTCCCGGGACTATGTTAGTTTATCAAACAACTTTTTGATAATATTTTTAGAAAACTCATTTTCTCATCATTTTTTTAGAAATCGTAATTTCTGGATAAAAAAAAAATTCTCCTGTAACAAACGCCCCCGTAAAGAATTTAAACATGGACAAAATATGCCTCAGATCGTAGATGGAACTCCAACTATTTAAACAAAATGCGTACTTATATCTTTGATGCATCGGGGTGATCATATTAGTATAAGCTCAAATTTGATGGATCCTTAGAATTGACCTTCTGAATAAGATTTATCACTTTGTCACGAGCCTCATCATTTTTCGAACTTTCGGGTTCGATCTTATTGAGTTTTTGATTTTTGATTTTATTTTTTTATTTCCATTATTTTTATTTTCCTTGTCTATTTAAGGTTGATATAAACCCTAATTTATTTGGTTGTTTTTTATGGCTATTTAATCATTTTGCCTTTATTTTAATTTAAAAATTATCACTTTGCTCCGTCCTAAAACTATATACTAATTTGTTCATGTTTAACTGTTGACCAAGCCATATACTCGAATATATGACCTAGATACTCGAATATTTGTTGTTCTATATAATATACTTGAATATATGAGCATCTACTCGAATATATTGCCCAATAAATGAATTTAGTAAACCTTTTTTAAGAATCAAACAAAGAACAAGCAATTTAATCTAATGATTCTATATCAGTTTGAGACAGCAAGTGTGGGCTAAAATTGTGGAAGTATATGGACAGTGTAGCGATCAAATTTTGAGGATCTTTGACCAAAGAGTTTTTTTTTCCTCTTTAAATTTTCCTATCTGGTATTTAATTCCCTCTAAATACTGGTATTACCTTTGTGGACCTTTCTCGTGACGTTTCATAGAATTAACATTTCATTTCTGTTGATAGACCAATCGTAGGCTGAAATAGGGGATAATGGTTACTAAAATTCTCCATTTTCACGGTTATATATTTGAAATCTTCTACTGCAACATTAGTCACACTTCACTATATATATATAATGATGGAAATTGAAAATTTAGTAACCACTAACTTGTGAATGGTCTAAGTTCCATGGAAATTGAGTTAGTGGTCTAAGTTCCATGGAAATTGAGTTAGTGGTCTAAGTTCCATTAGTCACACTTCATGATAAAAATTGAAAATTTAGTAACCACTAACGTTTGAATTGTCTAAGTTCCATGGAAATTGAGTTAGTGGTTACTAAATTTTAATTTCCACGATTATGTATGTAGTGAAAATGACCAAGTCTCGTAAAGCAATCTCATTTGGGAAATTGTTATATTATTTGTCTATTGATTGGTGGATATTCCTCCTAAAAGTGCCCATTTGTCCCAAAACATAATACACATATATATATATAATAAAGAAATGGATAAGCCTGACTAATACGAGGATATATTTTTACCAAAATACAAATAAAAAATACATAGGATAGATTTATAAAGGAAATATGCTATGAAATAAAATATTTAATTATAATAAAAAAAAACACTAAGATGTTTTCACACAATTATTAACCACACCGTCCACACGTTATCATGTTATTTGAAGATTTTGACTCTTTCCAAAAAAATATATACATTTTGTCTCTAACAACAACTAATTAAAATATTGAAGGCACCAATGGATTAGTAATATGTACATATCTTACATATTCTATATTTAACGAAGCATATTTTGTACTTAAGTAAGCAGTTTGCGGGGACGATGGTCTTAATCTCAGTCTTTGGCCTTGTAGGGGAAACTTGGCTTTATATCTTATGTGTCACGGATATCTTTGCAATTATCCACTTAAAATAGATAGTTTTCTGTTATTAAAAATAGGGTTTTATAAGAGTTATGTGGTAGGAAAAGTGATTGTGTAATGTTATAGAGATTTGTTTTGCGTGCCTTAGTTTTTTTTTTTTTTTTGCTTTAAAAAGTGCGATCCCCACAAAATATTATGTGTGTAGAAAACTTTTTTGTGTCATGTTAAAGGACAAAACGAAAACCCTTAAAAATAACATTTTATGATAACATGTTTATTGATAAAATGAGGGGAAACGTGATTTTTTATTTTTTTTTT